CCGTCCCCGGGCCGGCTCCTGTGGGAGGGGGGGGTCGGTGCTGCCCCGGGGGCGCTCGGTCCGGCCTTGCCCTCTGCTCCACAGCTCTCACCCGGGCGGGAGAGCATCGGCGGCCCCTTACTTCCAATTTTCAGAGTAGAAGGAGAGCTTCCTTATTCTTCCACTTGCCTTTCTTTCATGGTTGGCACCTGCGTTTCCTGGGAAATGCACACAGACACCCATTTTAGGCTTTTTACTCTTCAATAGAAATTATGCTTAAGTCAGAAATCCATAGAGGGTGTTGCATGGCTTAAGCCGTTCTGGTCGTTGCCTGTGTGAGCGTTAAACTCACTCAAAGTAGGCTGTAGAGCTCATCTCTGGAGTGATATAAATGCTCGGAGACTTAGTCCATGCTCTTGAGGCTGGACTGATAACCCTCGTCCAAGTTGTCCACCATGTTGTGAAGGCACAGTGGGCAGTGCAGTTAAACCCGTTCCTAATTATTTTCCTCCTCTGGAGAACAGGAGCTTAGGAAAACTATTTCAGAGGGAATAACCTGTACTAGCTATGTGGCTGGCTCACTCTGATTACCATTAGTAGGACAAGGGAAATATATTGGTCAGCTGCTCTTGTTGTTTCTGGTTAGGTTTTATTTTCAGTTTTAGATTTTATTGTGACATATGGGTTGGTGGAGAACATGTGGTTTGGGGGGGGGGGAAGAAAACCACCCAACATCTTTCCTTTATTTAAACTTTTTTTTTTTTTTTAAATCTTGGGACTAATATTCTACCATAATGAATCCAGAGCAACTCTCAGCAGCGTTTGGTGAATCTTCCGCTTGATCAGCAAAGTGTTGCAGCACCGTGGAGCTAGGCCTTTCACAGTCATGGTATTGGTTTGGTGGTAGGGGCAAAAATAAAGCTACACATCTAATCTGTAGCCCTGGCATAGTTTTGAATCAGCATCAGTGCATTATCCAGCTAACACAGGATAGAATTACAACCTGGCATGACATCGGCCTTGATGGCAGTAGTTGACCTACTTAAAACAGTTTTTATTTGCTGCTGCCCATTGTTGGTCAGGTAAAAAAAAGCTTTACTGATAATGTCAAGTTTCTTTATTCTCTAATTGTTTTAAATCATTTTAGGGTTCAGGAGTGACCAAGGTGCTATTTAGAGCTTTACTGGTGAGAGGCTTTTTCAGAGGTTTTGAAAAATACCTGTTTTCATTTTAAGGTTGTGGCACCGCTGCTGCATTAGTCGTACATGCCACTGCTGCTTGCACTGGATCAAGCGAAGAATGTCTTCAGATAGAATGTTATTCACGCTTAGTGTTGAACTGTTGTCCATAGCCTTAGAAGCCAAATAAATAAATTTGCTGAATTTACAGAAAATGCCTTTTTGCATAGTGGTCTTGTTGTTTAGTGAGTCCCCTCTGAGAGTCTTGATGGCTTTTCAGAATGGTGGCAAAGTAAATGGGTACCTGGAAGTGTGATCAAAGGGTTTGTTTGAGAAGCACGTCTAACCTAGCACCGGCATATTATTAGGTTTTTGATATTTGTGTGTGTTTGGCATACATCTGATACACCGTTGTGGAAATACTTGTTGTTATAAAAGTAGTTTCGTGAAAAACTCTTCATGTGTTTGAAAGCATAGACTTAATTGCTCTAAACCCAAGTGTGCGAATTGCTCTATTGGGAAAAAATGGAGGAAAAATAGAGAAGTAAAATAGTGAACAAAACTTTAATGCCCTCTTGCAACAAACAAAAGCAGTAGAAGTAGGATATGAATGCATTTCATTGTGCTGTGTCTTCTCTTGGCTTCTGCTTATGTCTTATGTAGTTTAGCAGGACTTAGCACGTTTCATGGGTACAAAAGCTCTGGGTACAAATGCTCATGAGCTGAAAGAGCAAGGAAGAAAACGTGCTCTGATCGTGAGACTATTCACAGACATATTCTTAGTTGAGAAACCCCTGCCAGCACTGTACTATAAAACTCTAAAATTCTGAATTCCATGAATACTTTTGTAATTATATCAGTACTCTGACAATTTTGGGATAACTTGATGTGATATACAAATAATGTCCTAGAAAATTGCTCAAACACAGAGTTTTCCTTTCAGGGAACTAATTGAAATTTTGGCAATTTCAAGAAACCAGAAGCTTCCACAACCAGGAGAGGAGAGCCAGGTAAGCTGACTTTCTAAACTATGTTTCTTTGGGTAAGCACAAAGCTTTACTTCTAATTTTTTTTTCTTTCTTTCTCCTTTTGTCTTTGCCTGTGCTCAGTGATGATGAGGTTTTGGCCCCACTACAAAGGCATTCTTTGTCCTCATGTTGTTTGTTTGTTTGTTCATGTGTTGTATGCTTCATAGGCTGTTTCTGCAAACAGAGGAAGAAATTCTGTTTCATTTTTCATGCAAACAAATACTCCTATGGATGTCAGTTGTTTTTCTCTGCAGAACGATTGAGGGTGTGTTGTTACTCTAGCTAAATTAAAAGTTCTGCAAAACTCTTGTTCAATAGATTCTGGAACTGCTGATTCAGAGAGATGGAGAGTTTCAAGAGCTAATGAAGCTGGCAGTTGATCAGGGGAAAATCCATCATGAAATGCAGCTTTTAGAAAAGGTAGTAGAAAAGAGGGATAATGATATTCAGCAGCTGCAGAAACAACTAAAAGAAGCAGAACACATACTGGTAAGTTCATAATGATGTGTTTGCTTTTGAGCATCTACTTGTGAAAAAGGTGGTTCTGGAGAAAGTGGTGTTGTGTTAGTTTGAGAAGATTTAAATATTTAAAACTTCATAAGAGCTTTGTGGTTTGGGTTTTTTCAGTAGTCAAATACTGTTTAGTTATCACGGTATTCAGTTTTGTTTTATAATGCTAATTTTCTTCCAAACCTACTTTACTTATGTGTATTTTGAAAATGTTCACTGAATAGTTTTTCTCTTAAAATGCAATTAAATGTAAGTGTTTATTCACAGAGCCTACTTTATGTAGAAGTTTACAAATTAAAGATGCATTGAAGGTTTGGTTTAGTTTGTTGGGGTTTTTTTTTTTTACAACTAGGCAACAGCTGTTTATCAAGCAAAGGAAAAGCTGAAATCAATTGAAAAGGCAAGAAAAGGTGAGTATCCGTGATTGTACATACTATATAAATGCAGTTGTAAAGAAAGTTGCTAGTGAGCTCAAGTGAGGGTTATTTTATTTTTTTTAATTCCACTGTCACAGATTTTGGGTGCCTTGTGTATCAACAAATTTCCATTTCATTATGAACCTATAACAATTTCTTCAGAATAAAGGCAGGAGTGAATTACTTTTTGTGGCAAACATATCTTAATATTAACTTAAATTCAAGTGTCACAATGCTCTTGGACTCATAATACTATATCTGATTACCTAAGTGTCTCACCAAATTGCCTCAGTGGGTCTACTGAGGAAAGAGAGACAATGTGCGTTGTATTTGAGAGACTGACTAGCTGGTGATACTGGTTTGTATTTGTAGCAATTCCTGCCACTTTGTGCCAGATATTTAGAAGGACTGCAACATACATGCTCTACAATTACTAAGCAAACAAAAAAAATTCTATACTACAGAAAATTCCATAATAAAGCAGGTGCTGAAATTTTCTTATGAATTGTGCTTGTCAAGTACACTGCTTAAGAGATTGGTTTCTATTTTTCATAAGGTTGAAGAACTGTTGACATGGAAGGTGTACTGAACTCATGGCTGTAAAATCAGTTCACTGTAAAGCTTGTCCTTCCATAATCTAAGAATCCTCTAAGCAGTCATTGCATTTGAAGCATGCTCTTAACGTTTGACAAAATTACATTCCCAATCTTCGATAATAGTGTCTAATATTCTGAAATAATTGAGTGATGCAATCTCTTGAGAATATAGTAACTTTCTTTCCCTTTTTCCAGGTGCCATTTCCTCTGAAGAAATAATTAAATATGCCCATAGGATCAGTGCTAGCAATGCTGTTTGTGCCCCTCTGACATGGGTACCAGGTAACTGTCATGTTTATTACAAGAGATTTTTTTATAATAAAGCATGGTCAGTATCTGGTCTTATAATACTTTTATATAGTGAAAATCACAGTGGTTTATTAGAGTAACATTGTTTTCAGCTGTTATAGCTAATATTTAAAAAAAAAAATATATCCAAAGTCCTGTAGACTGTAAGTACATCTTCAAAAGGCTGTGAAACTGCATGCTTCCATTAACTGACTGCCCTCCTCTGCTCTCCTTTGGCCCCAGTGAATGTTGGCCCCAATTATAAGTTAGAACCAAGTAAGTTAAAGACCTTTATGTATGCTCGGTTGTGTTCCCTCCTGCCCCTTATAGTATTCTTTACAGAGGATGTTAGTAACCAGTGGAGTCAGAAGCAGGGTTTTCATTATGTCACGTTTCGATTTTGGGGACTAACCCCTTTGTCCAAAATGAGAATGTGTTTTTTCCAATTCCTGTCCTTGCTGTTTAGCTGCGAAGTAGGGGGAGCAAAGATATCTTTTCTGCCAAGTTTGAATGAACAAAGAAGGTCTTAGTGAAAGACACAGACTTGGATTTTAACAAAAGAGATGTGATGCTCATTGTTGATCCAAACAATCACAGTATGGGTTGGTTTTGGTCAGGAAACAAGGTGCTGAAGAAAAAGTTAATGTCTGCAAGACGATTGATAAATATTTAAAAACATTTATTTGTGTGGTGTTTTTTTTTTTTTTTTAAAGGGGATCCACGTAGGCCATATCCTACAGATCTGGAAATGAGGAGTGGTCTCTTGGGTCAGATGAACAACCCATCCACTAATGGAGTTAATGGACACTTACCAGGGGATGCACTTGCAGCAGGCAGACTCCCAGGTAAGAGAAACTCGGTTTTGTTTTGCTTTTCTTTATTCTTTGTACAATCATAGCAATTATACATTTCCTTTAGCAAAGGCAAATCAGAGTTAAAGTAATGAAAATTATGGCTAACATTGTTCCTTAGCAGTGAAGATCTAGTAAAGAAAGTTAACAATTAGAAATTGCATAATTTTATTTCATGCTAAATCATACTGCAGACACTACAACTAAGTCAATATAAACAAAACTCACTTAGTTACCCCTCAATTCACTTATTTTGAATTGCTGTAAATTAAGTGATATCAAATCATATTAAAAGGCATTTTCAAAGCAAACTTTCCTTAGCAGTGATGAGCGTATGGATTTGTGAAATCTGCATTCAGAAGAAAAGGGGTGTATTGTCATCCCCTACCTTTAAGTCTATGCTCTATATAGCAAGACTGTTTGTTTGGAATTTCTGGATTGAAAACACATTGCAAAGGACAGCTGGTGAAGGGTAGTACCGTGAGTGTAGGAATCAAGCTTTAATCCCTTAATTGCTTAGTGAAATTGGCACTTCCACTAAATAAAATTTAGCAGTAAGTTACTGTAACTGAATCAAGGATTCAGTGGTTCTGTACCTGTGCAGCATTATTCTACCATGGTTAGACTAAATAGTGGAAAAATTCTTAGTTTGGATTCATATGAGTTCTGTAACAGTTCTTACCTGTCTGTTAAGCCACTTGCTGCAGGTGTTACAGAAAACTTGTTTTCAAAAATTGTACTGAATTTATTAAAAACCCCTGTATCATGACTCCCTTGGAGAAACAGCGAAATTAGATTTTGTGTTTCCAATCATCTGTCTAATCCTCTTGTCATGTCTTAGGAAGTGATTTGAAGTTCTGCATCATCTCACTTTCTAAACCTTTGGCCTTGGATAAAACGGGTCAGTGAGCTGAATAGGAGTGGGACCCTGACATCTGCTTGGTAGCCTCAAAACTTTTATGCTGCTTGGCACACACATTCAACCTGGTTTACTAGTGGACTTGTTCCAGCATTGAACCATCGCCACAGAATGTGAGACACTGGCATACATTCTCGGCTGATTCAAATAAAGTTGGTTAACTTCACCATAGCTGGGATGAGACCACCTGGTACTATTGTTGGTCTTCCTAAAGTGGGGACAGAACTGTCACAATGTCTGCGTTGCATCCTCACATCTGTTGATGGGTCGGGTTTGTACAGTTGGTAATGCATCTGGTATTAGGGGACTGTGGCTGTAGTTGCTATGTGGAATCTGTAGACTTAAAGATCAGAAGCTACTATATGTGTGGAGTCTGTGTGCTTCTGAGTTAGGCAGCACCTGAGTGAGAGTAAGTCTGTCATGACCCCCTGCTTAGACAGTGCCCTCTCTGTACTCAGAGCCCTACATGTTTGGGCTTCTATTCATTTCTGACTGCCTAATTATTTTAATTCTTGCTGTAAGCGGGAGATAGCTGGTTTCTTTTATGGGATAGACTTGGCTACAGTGCCTAGTAATAAGCAGAGAAGAACTGAAGCACAGCAGTCAGAGCATAAATTAAAAGGAAGGGAGGAGAACTGGCATATAGATGTGTACTGCAGCTTTGAAATGGGAGCCGTTTTTGGGGCGAGGAAGGGAGACACTAGGAAGTGTTGGAGGAGGGTAAGTGAGTAGGGAGTACAGGATGGGGTGGCTTTGGAAGTGGGAGGAGGAGGAGAAACAGTGAGAGCTGCTCAGGGGCAACTGAGGCTGGCCTGGCTGGGGCACAGTGGGACATTCCCACCTCTCGAGGATCTCTGTGCCCTGGTTTTGTAGTAGGATGCTGTTCTCCCTTGCACTTGATGCATCATATTTCCCGTTGGAAAAACGGTAACCAAGGTGTTTCAGCCAAATTTGGATAAGACCTTTTACTCTGGATTTCTATGGTCTACCTTAAGTAGTTGTTTTTTTTTTTATCTAATGTTTTCATCTGTTTTTGCATACTGACAGAGGGTGACCATTTTCATTACTGCCAGTGGCTGTGAATGTTAAGTCAGTTCAAACTGTGCTTTGAAGATGAAAAGCTCTGTATGAATATATACTGTTTTGAAGTGTAGTGATGAGAGATCAAGAGCCATCTACATAAATGGGCCTCTTTGGCAAAGTAGGCTTTTACAGTGATAGAATGGCATATCAATCATGAAATGTTTTCCAGCTGTTACTGGAGGGTTTCATCTGTCCAAAATTCAGGAAGGATTTTAAGATTTGGTTTAATTTTGAATTGGACTTCTGGTTGAGCTGTCTTGTTGAATTTGTTGATATACAAAACTGATAATTTGATTGATTATGCCCTTTTTTTCCAGATGTTCTCGCTCCTCAGTATCCTTGGCAGTCAAGTGATATGTCCATGAACATGCTACCTCCTAATCATAGTAATGACTTCATGTTGGAGCCTCCAGGACACAATAAAGAGAATGAAGATGATGTAGAAGTTATGTCAACAGACTCCTCAAGCAGCAGCAGTGACTCAGACTAGGTACAAGAGGGACAGTATCCCTAGTAGACCTTTCCTGTGGTGAAGGTAGGTTGGATGCTGTTCGTCACAAACTGCAATACCCTTCTGTTACCTTCTCCCTACAGAATGCTGCCAGCGTAACAGCTGACTCAGAAATAGGGTGACTAATTCAAACTGTGGACTTCAGAATCTTTTTTTTTTTTTTTATTTTCCCCATTAGATGTTCAAGTAAAATGACTGGGAGCTTTCTGCTGGAGGAGAGATGTCAAATTTCCAGTGATTGTGTAAATGTGTATGTTTGCAAGAGACCTGCTGTGTATATATATATTTACTATACATTAGATGACAAAAGTTCCTGGGAAAAAAGGTGTAAGGGGAATCCCCTTGTATGTTTGTTAGTAACTTCACTCTTTTGATGATAGCCTTTTTTATGGCACAGAAATGAGGCATGAAATTTGTAATTTTAATATCTTTTTTTGTTACTGCCTAAATCCATGTTCTTAATCATCTTGTGTGTGCCGAGAACAAAAATAAGGCAATAAGGTGTAAAAAAGAAAAAGGTTGTAATTATTGTAATATATAATTAATGATTTGTCATAAATAAACTCAGCTTTGATGTAACTTTCCATTTTATTTTGCAAACTTAAATCTTAGATGAGTTACACAGTAACTTCAATACCCAGCACATTTTATCCCAGTATGTGGTTGAATTCTGATTTGAGTTTCAGAAGTTTGTACTCCATTTTCCCCTTTGCAAAATGCCAAGTCAGTATTAGAAGCAGATGAGCAGTCAGGAACTGGAGGTCTGTCCTTTTCAGCTGAGCTTTATCAGGTACGCACAGAACTAGGCAGACCGTGAGGCAGTGATACAGAGTGCCCATTCGCAACACTGCACCAATACTTTGGTTAAACATCCTGGGACCTTGGAGATTACATCCTTTGGGGCACGCTGCAAGTTCAGCTCCTTTCAGTTCAAAGTGCTCGCAGATTCTTTATTCTTGGCTTCTGTAATTTTTTCAGTTCTTTGAACCTGCTAATTTGTTTACTTCAGCAGTTGCGTTTCCTGCCTCAGCTACAATGTTCTTTCATCTTTCCAAAGGCGCTTCCCTTGGCTTTCCTTTCCTTATTCTGTTTTGCTTAAGTCATTTTATGACAGCTACTTTTCTCTTCAGTTCTCTGATTTGATCAGAAGGTTATTTATGTGAACTGTTGCTCATGGCAGTTCCAGGTTTTTGCCCTGCAGCAAGGCTTCCTGAAGCACAGATCACAATTCTCTCAATTTTTCCATTTTGTAGATAGAGGAAGTATCTGATAAATCGGGTAATTCCTCATTTGCTCAGACAATCTTTCAAATATTGCTGTGAGTAATGCTCCCATATATGACCAACATATGTACAAATCCTATAAGGACGTTGAAATGGAAAGGACCTCTTCAGTCAGGTTCAATCACATAATATGGGGCAGTGTTTATTGTTTTAAAAGATAAATGAGGAATTTGGGTTTCTCTCAGCTGTTCCTTTTGGAAGTATTTTCAGAGTTATTAAAATTTCACCTCTATTTAGCAGTCTAAAATTATCTGTATACATTCGTATTTTAACCTTTATTCAGTATCATACTTTCTTCTTTGGTCTTTACCACCAATGTCTTTATGGAGAACTGTATTTCCTCTTTAATTCATGTTAATCCCAATACACCTGGTCTCTCTCAGTCATCCTAATTAACCTTGCCTAGCCCTGTTCTAGTTCACATTGTTTGTACATTGTTCTTAAAGATGTATGATCAGGATCATACGCAATATTGCAAAAAGCAGTTTCTTCATGCTCTGTACCATGGGATAAGTATTTTCTTCCCTAAATGCCCCGCTCAACACATTTTATGACACAGCCACAGCTCACTAGTCTCTTTTGTCTTCTTATTTATAAGGACATTCTTTTCTTGGAATAAAATACAACTAGAGCTAATTAATAGTCATGGAAAGTGTAATACACAGTCTACCCAAAATTCTTATACGGCTACATAATGTGATTTACTAACTGAAATAGTGGGGAGATGGGTGACTGTTTCCAGTCATAAATAAGTGAACAGAAGCAATGACCACTTCTTTTTTGGGGTTGTTTGCTAGTCTGTTAAAGGATTAAATGGGACTGATGTGGTACATCTAAGAAACAGGTACAAAGACGTCTCTGCCTAGTGTTCACTTAGCATAAAATCAGTCTGGGTAAAATGCATCCTGATCAGTTTCTTTACATCAGTGCTCCCAATATACTGCTTAGGAGTATTTTTCTCAATGCTGGATAACTGCAGTGCCATTTTAAGTGAATTCTGTCTGTTACAAGCAATTTGGCAAACCACAACATTTTAACTGAGTGTTCTGTTATTTAGTGGCTTAGATGTGTACACAATAGATATTCCTATTTAGCAAAAGTACCAAAAATCAAAGTAAACATAACATTTAGGTGAAAGGACTGAGTTTTAGCAGCTAAAAAATACTAAGAATCAAATTTTCTAGGGGGGGGAAAAGTACAAATGCATGATATGTACAAAATAAGTTTTATACATCAGGGACTGCTGACAACTGATTGCAGTAATGCACTGTAGTCATTTAATCAGTCCACTTAGAAAGGATGCAGAAATCCTGACATATGGAGGTACTGTTTGTGTCCTCATTTCAGTAACTACTTGTATATTTACAAGAGATAGATAGAATGAATATAAGCATTAATGGTAACAAGATATTTATTGCATGACAAACCATTTTGCAGTGACCCCTGTCTTCCTATCAGGAGTTAAAAATGTAAAAAAAATTTTAAATGGCACTAAATTATTTTAATAATTATTTCTTTTTTCATTATTCTTTGAGACAGATGGGCAGGACATCTGTCAAATCTTCCTGGAGTCTCTGTTGACAGCTGAATGGAATAATTTTCAGAGTACATAAAGTTGCTTTCAGCAAGAAAATCTCCACTTTTGAATAGAAAAAATAAGCTTTCTACAAAGATACAGTAGTAAAGGAATTTTCAGTGGTATTTCCCATTTCAAAGCTGCTTTATAACATTATCTTCTTTCTTCACTTCAGAGAAAGAATATCTGTTCTAAGGGAAGTGTGCAGTTAATACTTCAAATTCTAAGCAGGCCTGCAATTGTCAGTAGCATCTTTATACCTCAATACCACTCTGCTTCTCAGCAAAAAGAGCCATCTCCATTTAAGAAAATGTACATGCAAAGTAAGGAAGAGCTTTAAACCCTTCAAGCTCATTTCTTTTAATAACTCACATGTCAATTCATAATTTCAGACAACTTTATTCTTTCAGTATTGTGCTTGTGTTTTATTCAAAAGAAATTAAAGGTATCTCAGAACATTTTGTACAATGGCTATTTCTAAAGGAAGCAGACAAAACCTGTACTTTAAAAGAACCCTGAAGAGAAAATAATGAGCCAATTAGTGATTTTTCTTTTTTAGTCATATCCTAAAATTAATTGCTGATGTCCTAATGACTACAGCTGGAAAAGAATCAAATTTGGTTAGATTCTAGAAAAACAAAAAATATAAACTCACTGGGTTTGTATATGTTTTTGTGTACTGTGATTTCATTCACTACAAATTCAATCATTTAGTCATATCAAACTGAGAATTAACAAGTCCATCAAATCCTAGTAGCCATACAGAATTGCACCCATCTGTGCTGTTTAATACTGACAACCCTCTTTAGCCAAAAAGCATGACTGTCTGCTGTGGAGCTACACCTACAAATGACATTGGTTTGTACAATGTTATTTGTGTCAGCCTAGTAGAACGCTGTAGACACCTCTTCATTAAACTCTTAAGAGTTTAGTAACACGATCAGGAATTAAGATCAACTGCAGAGATCTGAAACACTTCTGCAGATAAATGCTAATGTAACTGAGGCTGCAAACAGAACTCTGTAATGAAAGGGGCTGGCAGGAAGGGTCGGGGAATGTTCATTCCCTGCAACAAGCCACCGCAGCCTTTTCATGTTTATAAATACTCCGATTTTCAAGTATGTACTACTGTCTGCAGGAAAACCAAGTCTGTAAAACGTGACTTGTGTTCATGACAGTATCTTAAGTGAAGCTGTGAGACAAGGCTAAGTTTAAAAATTGGTCCAAGATCTATAATTACAGGAAAGCAGCATGATACACAAAGTAGTTTTACATAGAAAGCAGGACACTGGTTTAAACAAATCAGTTTCTCGTGGGCCTGATGCTACAACTGTTTCCATGTGAGTGAGCTTCTCTGACTAGTTCTGACTTCCAAAGGGCTATTCATCTATATAAAGATTAACCAGATAAAACACTATGAGTTTTCTGTAAAAGAAAACATTACTTATTAACCACTAGAGCTACAAATAGCTCTGGAATGAGAGACAACTGTCGTGTGAAATACAGTAAAAGCACTGAAACATTTCACATCTTTTTAGCTTTGGGAAGGGTAATATTTTCACATGGGCAGAGTAAGCATAATACATGATTTTCTCTTTTACTCCAAAAAAAGCAGGTCTGTCCTTCAGTTTGTTACATCACATGCAATTATTTTTTATCCAAGTTGGTGACTTCCCGTGTACCCCTTTAGATGATCGAGCTCTTCTGTAAAGGGGTTGTAACCTTGCTCCCTTAAACAGCGTAAGGCCCAGAACAGTTGGTCTGCTGGAGGAAACTCATCCCACTTAACCCATTCCCAACCTGCAGGAAAAAAGAAAAGAAAGTCAGAGTGTAAAATCAATCGTGCAACAATTCCGCTTCTGCCAGGTGGGGTGGATTGCGCAGAAATTACCAACACAAATTCAAGTCCTCTGTTGCACACACAGTTATTTTATTACTTTCCTCCCCTTGAGGAAGAATTTTTTTTTACGCTGAGGGTGGTGAAACACTGGAAGAGGTTACCCAGAGAGGTGGGAGATGCCCCATCCCTGGAATCATTCGAGGTTACGTTGGACAGGGCTCTGAGCAACCTGGTCTAGTTGGGGATGTCCCTGGTCATTGCAGGGGGGTGTGACTAGATGACCTTTAAAAGCCCCTTCCAACCCAAACCATTCCACGATTCTGTGATTCTAACCCTGGACCTTACTGGAAACGCGTGTTTTCACCCATCTGCAGAATAAACGTACCTGTAGCCACTCCCCCATCCTCTTACGTCACAGTGTGCGGCAACGAAGGGAAACATAAAGGCGTATTTTGACGTAAACGAGTCAAAGCACAGCCCTGCCCGCGGCTCCCCCTGCTGATGAGCCCAAGTGACACCACCCCACCCCAGGGGTGACGCCATGCCGCCCTCCCTTCGCTCACCCTCGTTCTTCTCGGGCTCGCGGTTGCGCGGCTCCGCCCCGGGCTCCGCCTCCCCCTTCATGAGGACGGTGACGTAGTGATAGCGCGCGGCGGCGCACACCGAGTTGACGGCGGA